TGCATTCTCGCGTGTTTGTACTTTGTCGCTTCGACTGTCTCCTGTCGTCTGTACGGTCCGTCTCGTTTGTACACCCCTTGTTGAGTCTTCCTTTGTACAATCTTCGTCTTGTCTGTCTTTGCAACTGTGGCTTGTCCTGGTCGACTCTTGCCGAGCCGTCTGTCTCGTTCGTGCCGTCCGATCTGTTTCGTCCGCCTCGTTCCAAATTGTTTGTGCTTCAATTAAACTTTCGCTTAACATTTTCGCGAGTTGCAAAAAACGATCGGCTTTCAAATGCTAGAATAGGCGTTCGCAACAACGATATTTTTTAATCAAGTTCAAGTTTCAAGTTTGTTTTTGCTTTCCATAAGCAATATTTCTTTGGGTTAGATGCTAAACGTGTCGTTAAACCCGCCATCACTCGACAACCGATTGGTGAAGTCTGTCACGTAAACAAAACGTGCCACTTATTAGCACGTTTAGTGAGGTTTACCACGTAAACGTGCCAATAAATATTAGCACGTTTACTTGGCAAACCTCACAAATTGGCTGTGTCGGGTGATGGCGGGTTTAACGACACATTTATATTGACGTGATCTAACCCAAAAAATACTATGGATAATATTTATCGCGAAAAAAAATCTTGCGCGTTAAATAGTTTCGAACAATTAACCGTGCGAGAACTCGGGAGACGATGATGCAAGAGTGACCTGCCTGGTCGATGTTGACTCGACGACTCGTCACGTGCATCATCGATTGGCATCGCTCAGTGGCGTCACTCTCCGTGCGGCATGCGGGTGCTCGCTCACAAGAGCGAGTTCGACGCCTCTTGTTTTTAAATCCTTTATATTAAGTTAACTTGCTTGCGCGCTTACGACAGTGCAAATATTTCGGTCGTTTTTTTAACCCACTTCCCGTGATCCAATCGAGCTGACATTTTGCACACAGACTCGTTGTGCGTGACAATTTATTTTCGTGAAATTTTTTTTCCATAACTTTACACTTTTTAGGATTTTTTTTTATATTTAATTACCAATTGCTTAATGGTGGCAGGCAATCATCTGACCCATAGGTGGCAGCCATCTCAAGCCAGAGGACGAGAGGACTCTAGCCGCCACGCATATAAAGGATTTATATTAAAAAACTTAGTTTTTACGGGTTAATTTTTTGCCGCATCATCTTCATCATCATTCGCGTGCTCGCTACCAGTGTAAGAAGAGATCCACAGATCTCGGCGTGGCCATAAGTACTTCCGTTTAGCACGGTTGGCTACGTACGGTGCGAATGAAGTTCAACATATGTATTTAGAACCATTGATGGCACCACGCCTCGCCCTACCGCTTCCTCCACGTGGCGCAGCTTCTGGTAACTGATGCACAGCAGACACGTGACTCCCCCCCCCACCCCAACATTCGGTCTTAGGTCTTATCTTCCCCTCTGTCAAGTTACCGGATTCGCCGAGACCGCGCCAATGACTCTCGACAATCGGCACTCAGCAATCCAGCACACGTGTCCAGGTGAAACGCGCAGCCCTGCAATTGTCTGTCCACGTCACTGCTGGCGGAAGGACCTCCGCTAGAGGGCGCTCAAGAGATGCCATCTCGAATCTAGATTCTGGAGATTATTTTGGCCTACTCTTCCACGCTAGCCAGACGTTTTGGCAAAGCAACCGTGTACCCCACCACGCTCGTTCCTCAATCCTTGTAGCGCGCCCCTGTCAACTGCATCATTCCATTCTGTCATCGTTTTGTAAGCTATGTCAAGCGCCTTGATTGAAGGCTCTCTATGAATATAAAAATGTGATTAAATTAGACGAAACCGTGGCATTACCCTCAACCTGGGAATTCGGAGTTTTTAAACGGGATTTGTTTGGATCTGCGGCATCCAGCTCACCACATCCAGTATACTTCTCGCTGCGGGTGAGGATATGTCTAGTTACATGCCAATTAAGTCTACCAGGGACCCGTAAAATGTATGTATGTTGAACTTAATTCGCACCATACGTAGCCAACCGTGCGAATCGTAGGTACGGTGAAGGACAACAAGCTAAACACAAAACGCAGTTCTATAGAAATTATTTTTTTATCTAGATTTAAGAGTGCATGGCTTCAGTGGCTTCCGAACCGTGTTAAATATTTAAACAGTTGGGGAAAAGGTGTATAATGATAGTGTTTCTAATTTTCATTTTCACCCAGAAAAGCCTGAGTCCCAATATTATTTTTGCAGAAGTATCTTGCCAAGCTTTCGCAGTAGGGGCGGCGACGATGTTGCAATGTGTAATCCCAATTTGAATAACTTTCAAGTATTTTAAAATTTGTAATTGGGATGTTTGGCCGATACCAGTTTTTATTAGCTCTGGGACGAAAGCGGAAAAATGTGGACACAACCTCATGCAGAACAGGTGTAGAATATACAAACTCGACACAGCAAAGGTGCTCCGGGTCAGGAATCGAACCCAAGATTTCTGCCTGCCAGGCACAAGGCACAGCCGTTCAAAGGGTATACGGTGAATTAGGGCGATGGCCCCGGGCCCCGCGCTTTGGGGGCCCCACGGCTCGACGTCACGGTGTCATAAGTAATTCTCACTCCCAGTTAAGTTTGAAGGCGTCGAAGGGGGCCCACAAGGTGCGTGATTTTCCACCGGACCCCCCCCCCCCCCGCCATCTATGGCCGGCCATGGGCGCAGGTGTCACCCATTTTGCAACCCTAAATAATACTGCACCGCCATACATAGACAAGAATTGAGAGTTATTGTTTCCAAATGCGGCCACGATGACCGCTGGAAGATTATAGGGCAATTAGCTAGGAAAGAACATTTTGCACGAGATGGCATGGGGTTAACCAGCTTCATGAAATGACAGCTTAGAACTTTGCACCTCCACAGCTTTTGGAATTTTAGGACAATTAGCAATTCGTTTTTTTTGTACCTTTCTTCATTAACTAACTGGTCTCTATTAACAAATGGCTGAGATTTACGAAGAGACATTCAAGGCCACCCCCTTTTAAAGGAAAAGCCTATAAATTGTTTCTGTCTACAAGAAACACGCGGCAGCATTTAGAAATCCGCGGCGGCATAGATTGATCACGAGTCATGCGCGAGCACGTGGGCGCCTCTGACGTAACGTGACATGCGGGTCGATTGAACTCACGTGACTCCCGCTTCGAATACATTTGAATCTTTTGTTCCCTTCCCACCCTGCTCCCTCCTGTCAGCATCATCATCATCAGCCGTAATTGTATCCACTGCTGGATGAAGGCCTCCAAAAAAAAAACAAGTCGCCATATCTTACGCTCTTGCGATGACATTTGCAAATGCACACGAGTCGATTTTATCGTTCCATTTCCGCAGCGCATGTGGTCCATCTCCATTGGCTGCTACTCTGTCTTTAGTCTCGCTGCCCTCTACAACTGCCCCTATCTTTTTGCACCCCTCTAACCCCTACCCCCTTAACCAAACCTACTCCTTGTGCCCGTTCCTTCCACTCCAGCACCCTCTATCACCACAGACACACGCACCTCACACCCTCCCCGTCTCCCCTTTCATATCAATAACCCCTCCGCCACCCTCAATTCTCATCTCCCCTACTCCTACCCCAAACTCCCCTCTCTCCGTGTTCCTTTCTACCTGCCCCGTCCATCCCGCGACATCCACCCTCCCACCAGCTGCTCCCCGCCGCCACGTACGTATGTGTATGCACGTTGAACTTCTTTCGCACCGCACGTAGCCAACCGTGCTAATCGGAAGGAATAAAATGGGGTCAGCTGTTTTCATTCCCATCTTTCCCTCTCTCCCTCCTCCTTCACCCCCCCCCCCCCACCTCGTCTACCCCCCCCCCATTACCTCCCCTCCTTACCCCACCAAACCCTCCCCTCATCCAACACCCCCCCGCCCCACACTCTCCCCTCCCCCCCCCCAACACCATCCAGAATCAGAATCCGTATTTGGACTGCAGGAGGAATCCGATGAGCTTCCAAAGCTCTTTTTCACAGATGTCCAGTAACCCTTCATTCCCAGCTGCCCTCCACCCCTCTCTCCCTCCTCCATCTCTCCCCTCGCCCCACACACATCCCATGATCATCATCATCAGAAGCAATCAATCCACTCACTACGCCAAAGCCATCACCCCCCCCCCACCCACCTCGTCCCTTTCATCTCCCCCCCCTTCCCTTGAGCCCCCCCCCTCGCCGCCCCCCACTCCACCGGAACCCCTCCCCTCGTCACCCCCTCCCACCACCAACCCCCGGCACCCCCCCTCGCGAGTTAAAATGACTGGGGGACGGCAGCTTCGCGGTCGCACTTCCGCCCCGAGGGCAGAATCCGCGCTCCGCGTGCGGCGAGCCCCGCGCGCGCGCCGCACGCGGGGCGCCCCGGGGGCGTCTCGCGCGCGCGAAACCTGCGGGCGCCTTTCTCGCTCGCTCGTCGGGGCTTCATTGTGAAGGCGGAACCGCGAAAAGCTCCCTCGGAAGAGCCACACAGCCAGCCAGCCAGCCCTCATCTCTTCTCTCGCTCTCTCGTCGCCTCGGCAGCTCGCGAACACACACGCCGCACGGTCAGGCCACGGTCTCTCGACATCATCGCTACAACATAACAGCGCTGACGACGACGGCGGTGGTGGTGGTGGTGGTGTGTGAGAAATCGCCGAGGAAGAAGAAGGCGGCGAGCAGCAGCTTTGGGCCCCTTCAATGTCGCGGTGCGATCCAGGCAGAGCGCCCGCAGCCGCCTCGTGCTAACGAGACGAGGGGGGCAGCGGGGGGCAGGGGCAGTCTCTACCCGGCAGTTCGGTTTTCATCGCTTGAATTCGGCATTTATTGGGATTGTATCATTATTCTTTGGTTCGCCACCATTGTTGAGTATTAGAGCGATTCGCTGTAGCTCGTACTGACGAGGAGGGTGGGAATTGCAGAGGCCCCCCCGGACGACGGGTGGCGGTGTGGTGGTGGTGGAGTGGGTTGGGGTGGTGTGTGGGTTGGGGGGGGGTCCCCGTTGTTTGGCGCAGTCGCCCTGAGCAGCAGCAGCAGGAGGAGGAGGGGGAAGCGATGGCGCTGCCGTGCGTCTGAGCTCGGGGTCGCCGGGGTGTTCGCGTCGGCTGTAGAGGCTGGCTCGGTGGTGGGGGGGCCTGTAAAGTCGGCTTTGTGTTGAGGTGGTGGGGGGGGTGGGTGGGGAGAGAGCAGTCGAGTCGGGGTTGTTTTGGGTTCGAGTCGGATTTATATCGCGTGAAGATCCGAGCTGGGTTAGATCGGTGCGGGTCGGATTTGGAACCGGGATCGGAGCGCGTCAGATTGCCGTAGGGGGTCACCACGGGTCGCGCTTTTTGAGTCTTTTTGTCCGATTCTGTCAAAGTTACATCGGATCGAGTGGGATCGGATCACAGATCCGTTTAGTTCAGGGTGACGCCTGGCTAAGGGGGGGGGGGCACATTGTGACATCTCCAGGCTCAGGCCAGGGTGGTCCTTATCGGTTCAAATCGTTTCGAGTTTGGATCGGAAGTCGTCAGCTCGGACAACGGCAGGGGCGAGGGGCCATTCAGTCATGAGCGCCGGCATCTCCCTCAGCGAGCTTTGCTGCCTCTTCTGCTGCCCGCCATGCCCCGGCCGCATCGCCTCCAAGCTCGCCTTCCTGCCGCCCGAGCCCACGTACGGCCTCCTGGCGGACGAGACGGGGTCTCGTTGGAGTCTGCGACTCACCGACCGCGCCGAGTGGCAGTACTCCCGCCGCGAGCTGGACGCAATCGAGGTCTCCGTCACCAGGTGGTGGACCGCAGCGGACGCACGGACGGATTCTGTTCTCTGCTGTGGTGGCTTGTGGTCTCATTCTCCATCCGTCCGTCCGTTCCTTCATTCCCCGACTCCACCGCCGCCACCAACATTCCCCACCCCACCCCACCGCAAATCCGTGACCCACACCGCCATCCTGCACGCCAGGTCATCGTAGTCAGGGCACGCGTTCTCACGGAATAATTTTCGGGAAAGCTGCATCGTCGTTGTCTCGTCGTGTCCGTCGTGCCAGCGCAGTCGGACGGACCGCCGATCGCCACTTTGTCGGTCGGTAACGGCGCTTAAAAGCGTTGACGGTCGGCATCGATGGTTTTCGAGGAATCGGGAGATTGCGAGTAATGTGGCAGGACCCCCGCGATTGGCAATACTTCCACCGGGTTTTTTTTTTCATCTGAACAGACCCAGTTAAAATGTATCCCTGGTCCTAACCCCCCTCCTCCTCTTCTTGGTTCTTTCGGTAAAGTCACGTAGAATGGAAATAATAAAATAATAAAAATAAAACAATAAAATAATTCTCACAACGTTTCGGCTACAACGCAAGTAGCCGTCCACAGGTGGAAAACAGGTCTGTCGAGGAGACTGAAACGTCGTGAGAATTATTTTATAATGTTTTATTTATTATTTATTATTTCCATTCTACGTGACTTTACCGAAAGAACCAAGAAGATGAATCCCTGCAGTCACGAAAGCTTTAAATCGAAAAATTTCCCTTCCTCCAGACATTAGTCCTTGGTCTCACTCTTATCTAGATTGTAACCCCCCCCCCCCCCCCCCGTGTACAGTGCATAACCGATAGCCAGAACCCGACCGATACTTTGAAATAAAATACGTAGACGTATAGCGTGTATTTAGCCCTGAGACACTTCCTACTATGAGTCATACTTTAACCATTAGTCAAACCTTGGCCCCATAATCAAATCTATAACTGACAAGAAAAACCCATTAAATCAGAAACAGTGTTATATGTTTGGAACTGCTGGGCCCATACACATACTCTAAACCATGAATAAGAAAAACAAACCCTCAACACTAATTGTTTATCATGACTTTAAGATAAACTCAGACCATTCCTAACGTTGGCCAGGCCACAACCCTTAATATGGTGAACCTTTATCACCGAGTCTTACCTCTTAACCTGACCCATACGATCAATGTATACCATAACCACAACCACTACCCCAGTCTTAGAAAACCCTTTAACTAGACCATGTGATGGAATTTAAAGTGAACCCTAACATCGTACCTATACTGTGAAACTTTGCCCTGACGACTACCCTAATTTAAGCCCTTAATCACTGCTCTCAGTATTCCCTGCCATTACCCAGACATTGACCCACACACACAGAGCCATACTGATAATCTGGACATTGAACCTGGTCACAAAACCCAAACATTTGTGCTCACCATTCACCAGACACTTGATCACTAACCGTAACCCATGCTAACACGTGACTTAAATATTTCCATAACTCCACTTGACCTATCCCCTAGTGAGTTGTAGTTTCCCTTTTGTTGCCCTGTGGTGGTTGTGATGATCGTGATTGCCTTCATAAATAATAGAACTGAAACCAGGGAGGGATCCACCCCAAAGTGACGTACATTTACATGTTCATAAAGAGGGTCCCAGCCCTGTGTTCTCTGTTCCCACCGATTGTGCCTTTTAGATGACGCACGGCAGTTGCCCTTGTGACACAACGGGGTCAAAATCGTGCTGACGAGGACCGCGAGCAGTCGTCACACCTTGTGCGAGCACTTTAACGAAGCGCGTCGCCTTTTTTGGAAGTCTCGTCACTTAGCACTGACCGCTCCCTACAATTTATACCAAATAGAAGTCGTCGCTAAAAGGATATCCTCCTTGTAGTAACACTCGCCCAGGGGATATTTGTGATGTGACTCTAGGGGGTGGCAATTAAAACATGTTAATCAAAACAACCATTGTGTAACAGTGCAAGCAATAGTTAAACATAACAGTCGGTCAGTGGACGTATTTGCTGATTTGTTTTTTTTCCAGCTGTTTATAATGGTGCCTGTGCTGTGTATCTTTGCGTGTTTATGTAGGCAACTGTGTGGAATGGCGACAAAAGCAATAATGTGCTGGAAGGGAGAGGAGGTGTTTGATTAGTGGGGTAGCAGGATTTGGCCTCTGGGGCCTCGTGTGTGCGTGTGAATGGTATGTGAATGATAAACATCGCCACGAGGGAGACAAAGGCGGCCGGGCGTGGTGCTGGCCACCCACCCCCTCGTGTGCCGTGCCAGCCTTCATAGGTGCTCGCGAACAGCACTTGCCCAAACAGTCTGTTAGGGCTACACAAGGGCGATCTTTGTCTTGCATATGAATGGTGGGAAGTGACACATGAAAAGGCATCCGCAATAGAATTTTGAAAGACGTACTCAGGATGTGGCCAATGAACATAATGGATACTTGGGGAGCTGTACAAAAAAAGCAAGGATAAAGAATTTCAAACGAACTAATTGCTTAGTGGGAATGAAAAAAACTAATTTATTCGATGGGAGTATCCCAGTCAGTGCCTTAACGTAAATAATTTTAACGTATAACCTCACGACAGGTCACTAAGACGAATATCTCTTAAGCGAGTGGGTCCTCCGCTACATTAAATCCGTCGCTTCTAAGAGCAATGCGTTAAAGCTCATTAAATCAACAGGGTTTGTCCGGATTCTTGCAATCTTTAAACTCGATAATTGGTTCTTTACCCTTCTATCTGGCAACAAAACTGACACCTTTTTGCAAGGAGTCATGTTTGCATAGACCGCAATACCTGCAGTCATAATACAAACAAAAGAACATAACTCTGATAATGTGCACTGTCCTTGAAGTTGATTGGTCCACACCCGAGACAGCTTTCCTTCGAGCCTAGTCTCATATGGGTTGGACCAGATGACGCCAAAGGCGCACAACTCAAGGACAATGCACCATCAGAGTATGAGAGCTCGGGGCAAGCATCTACACTATGGGGACCTCATTTGCCAGTAAAAATATGATAATTGGTTCTTTACCCTTCTATCTGGTATTATGACTGCAGGTATTGCGGTCTATGCAAACATGACTCCTTGCAAAAAGGTGTCAGTTTTGTTGCCAGATAGAAGGGTAAAGAACCAATTATCATATTTTACTGGCAAATGAGGTCCCCATAGTGTATCTTTAAACTCATTTAGCTGCAGAGCACTTTACAGCGGTGGCAGGGAGGCTGAGCTCCTTCATTGTTGGGAGGAATTTGCCAGGCTCGTGTGAACGAGGCCAGGGCGTGTTCATTTAGGCTGCCCAGCCCACAGGAGGCATTTGCAAATTTGACGGTGGCACGGAAGTGAACCACAACCTCGCAAAAGTGGCCTCACAGAGAACACTCCCTGTAGAGTAGACGAGCCAGCCAGCATGTCTATTTTTGGTACCCTTGCCTGTGCGATTGTCTGGGGTCAGTTTTTACCTGGTCACGATGTCTGGCGTTATTATTCAGGCAGCGAGTATCGGCTGTTGTGTTCCACCGTGTAATGCAGATGTCCTCGGAGCCTCTTGAGCGCCTATTATTTCCGTTTTTGCTGAAACCATTAAATCTGCTGTTGTGCATCCAGCAAAATCAATAGCCGTGTTATATGGCAGGGCACTCGTTTGTGTGTGTATGCATATATGGCAATTGGAAACTGGCTGACTTTTTTTTTACTCTAACAGCTCTGCTGTGTGTTTCAATGAAATTAATAATAAAAAACAATCTATATGTTTGATTAATTTCTGCCCAAATAATAAGTGATTGATAATGTACCTGATTAATTTCTCGATACAATTTACTTGGCGGGGGGGGGGGGGGGGTGGATATTCACGTGGGCTCGTTATGCTGCCACAAGTACCCTGCATGTAAGTAGATGCTTTGTGGTAGATTGCATTTCATAGCCTGTCCTATGCTCGGATAATTACCAGATTGCTTCTTGAGGGAATGATGGGGAGGGGGGTTTTGAGTTGGCATAAAAAAACTCAAAATTTATATGATTGCAATTAGACAATTATGTAGCACATGTCCGTCGTCAAATTACGCTTAGCAAATGTGGTAAAAAAAACAAGTTTGCAGCTTACAGCGGAGCATGTGACTTGCATTACAAGTGCAATATTATGCTTTCATGTCGACTTAATACCCTAGTTGTAGACGTGTTTGTTAATTTAATTATTGTTTAGTGGATTATTTGGGAGGCTTTATTCCTCCGCTGAAATTCATGCCAATTCAAATTATCCACACCAAAAATGTCACTTTAAATAGACATCAATTAGCCACGATTAGTTACGTTCATTTTTTCTTACATTTAGAGAGTGTGTAGTGGCAAATTACTGCAATGTAAGTTTAATCTTGGCACTTGCATCGTTAAATGCTGCTGGAAGCACACGCATCTCTATTATTAATAACGCATTCTCAATCAGTGCCTTATTTTACCAGCTGCGACTAATTAAGTTTATTTTGCCTGGAGTCACATGAGAAAATATGTTATTTGCAAAAACTTATACAGTATAGGTAAATTCTGATAATAGGGATGTCACCCTCCTTTCTCCAGTTTGTGTATCCTACTTCCAGGGCTGTTTCTCTTCTGTCTCTTCCCCACATCTTCCACCTTTTTCCTTCCCCCCCCCCATTTCCCCTCGTCTCCCTCCTCGGATTCTCTTCTCCCCGTGCCACGGACGAGTCCTTAACGTACGACCCTTCCCCAACCCCCTTGGGCCCCGATCCCCCCGCAGGACAAGCAGGGGCAGTCGGCTGGCGTGCATGTTCGTGCGCTGCGCGCCGGACGCGCCGTTCACGCTGCTCTTCTCTCATGGCAACGCCGTCGACCTGGGCCAGATGAGCAGCTTCTACCTGGGGCTGGGCACGCGCCTCGGCTGCAACGTCTTCTCCTACGACTACTCGGGCTACGGGGGCAGCTCGGGGAAACCTTCCGAGAAGAACCTGTACGCCGACATCGAGGCGGCCTGGCACGTGCTGCGCAACAGGTGCGCCGTTGTTTTCCTCGTCGTCGTCGTAGTGGTGTCCGTATTTCGTCAACCCGCAGCCGCGTAATGCATTGGTTTTCGCCGGTGACATTTGGTTTGTTCGTGCTTTCAACGACGATACGCGCTTCGATTCGTGCGTGCAAGAGTTTGTTGTTGGTCTTACATTTCGGGCTAATAGGGAACGGTGGTGCAGTAGTTGGCACGCTACTTTGAACCTGTGTCCCATGACTTTTGAGTTCTGGCCTTGCCAACATCAGTGGCGAGTCATATCTAAATCGGTCCTGCTCCCCCCCTTCTCCTCCTTTGACCAATCTTGTGAAGTATCATTCAACAACTCTTATGATCGACACGGTAGAGGGATGCCTTATTCGAGCAGTGTATTGACAAAGCGCTATATACGTTAGGATAATACAGTGAACCAAGACATGCAAATGGAGCCAAAACATTGAGAATGCATACAATTTCGTAATAATTTTATTATAATATAATCCATTCTTTAATGAAAGTGCCATCCCGATTCGCGACAGTTGAATCGCTGGGGGATGAATCATTGCATTTAATACAGATTAAAGAAATAATGGCAAGTCTTGCACTCACAATACATGCATTGAATTGGGACGATGAGAAAGACTAGCAATTGATGCAAATGATCTGCTAATGTTACCTTTAAGATAATGGATAGAACATTCAAGACAGAAAATACATAAAAACGTCACTCAATAAATACATTCCTGAATCGAATCATGACCAGGAGCTGTGACAGGTCATCAAATTGTGAATCATGACATGCTTCTTGGTTACTGTTGCTACTGTTAGTTTTTCTTGCCAGTGCTGGTGTGGCAGTGTTCGACTCGCAGTCAAAGTTACGCGTTTAAATCCAGTGGCACGACAACCGTGATTGTCCTATGGATAGACTGTTCTCAGCTAGTTGCCCAGGGACTGTCAACATTTGAGCATTTTATTAGGCATTTTATTGCCAAGTTACAATATGCATACATCTAGGTGTGCACACTCCTGATTTACTACCTATTACATCGGCTATTTGTGCAAGACCTGTAAGCCAAGTGCTGGAATTTTTAACGACATTGATATGCGTAATGGATTGTGCGAGAGAGATGTGCCCAAGGCAAGTAAGTTGACTCGATCTCCAGGTTTCTCTGCATCAATACAGGATCATGACCCCGTTCATCATTGACAAGGATCGGTGATTCCTTGAGGCTGCGTCGGTGTTTCTTTTTTGCTGCCAAACGTGTTTTTGAAAACACAACTGGAGTGTTCTTCTTGGTTCTTTCGGTAAAGTCACGTAGAATGGAAACAATAAAAATAATAAAATAAAACATAATAAAATAATTCTCACGACGTTTCGGCCACAACGCAAGCAGACGTCATCAGGTGAAGACGTTGTGGCCGAAACATCGTGAGAATTATTTTATTATGTTTTATTTTATTATTTTTATTGTGATTTTACCGAAAGAACCAAGAAGATGAATCCCTGCAGTCACGAAAGCTTTAAATCGAAATTCAACTGGAGTGTTTTGAAATTCTCCGAATGTATTGGATTTTCTGGCAGGAAAATAGTTTTTGGTTTAATTGGAGCCTCCTGTGATGCTCCTCGCTGTTCACAAATAAAATTACACCCCTTTTTGTCCAGGACAACCTCGCTGAAGTCTTAAGATTATTTTTAAGGATTGTTGTCCAATTGATTGTTGGGCTGATTTATTTTTGAAAGTATGTATTTCTTTTTCATTAGAGAAAAACGGGCTGCCTGGAGAGAAAGCCCATACGTTCAAGGGAGTCACTCAATATTCTACAAGTATAGGTTCACAAACTAACTCTCTATACTGTTATATACTGCCATTCTCAAAAATTAGTGGTTTGGGGAGTTTCACCACAGGTAACCACTGGAGTCTGTCTGTGCTGTTTAAGTTTGTAATGCAAGAGTATTTCACTGGTGGGGGGGGGGGGACATTGTTTTATAACTTGACGAACAATATTCATTTGTCTTATCCTTGTTAGGCCATGGGCAACCTAAGCTGGATGTATTGTTTATAGAGACTCTTGAATGTATTCTCAATATGTTTGTAATTTTCTGAAACTCGTGTTACGGAACAGATTTCAGACTACCAATCATAATCTGGAGGAGTGTTGCTGAATGGATGGCCGCAGCTGTGATAGGTTACTGCTGGAATTGGGTTCGTTCACTCTTGTAGGCCTGACTTGAATAATGAATGACCAGGGAAGAACTGCAAAGTCGAGTTACGTAAGTTACTATTCTCCCTGGCTTGGAGGAGTGGCGGTTTCTTTGTGCAAATAGCTCAAAGTGATGGTGCAGCATGACCGTAATCTCAAGATAATGGTCCAGCATTACATAATAGTAAGATGATTGTGCATTGTAGCCTGACAAAAAAACTATCTATGTGAACAATTGAGTGTTTTTTATTAACCCTAATTGAGATTTGCTAGTTAATTCGTGGGTCAGAGAGCACCGAGTTCTTACCACTGAGATGCTGGGTTATTATTTTGCGTTTCAGTCTACCGCGACCAAACAGGGTTTTTAAGTGTAGCAAGTTGATGGATTAACTGATAATTACTAATATATTTGTAGCTAATGTCTATGCAAAAAAGTACATCCTATAAAATGTTGTTATTTACTTCATTTGGACAAAAATCCGACTGAGATTAAAAAAAAAAAAGCAGTTTGACTGCAATGCAATGAATGTCTCTACAGCTGGGCAGTGTGGGGAAGTGCAACGCCTCAAGTGCGGGTCAGAGGTCACTCCGAGATCTCTAAACTAGGTCTGTGATATCTCCTTTTGTGTGCCGTTCTCTAACTTGGGGTGATGCACTGCTCAGAGAGCTCCGAATGGGCATGGCGTGACACTGATAGCACTTTCAGGATACAAGAAACAAATCCCGATGCACCGTAAATTCACGTGTTGTGTTATAGTGAAAGTTCACAATGGTTGAACATTAAACATATTTTAGAACCCTTTGCCAATCCACTGCTGGATGAAAGCCTCCCCTTTTCCACTTCAGTCAATGGGGAGTTCATTAACCGTACATCACCACTTTGGATCAATGCATGTCGGTGAAGGCTCGGGGGCCCAGGATCAATTCGGACATCACTCATCACATGGTCAGAAATCTAACTGGGTAGCCGGCTTCATCGCGCAGTTTGCGGGCCACCCCGCAGACTGATAGTGTACGTACGTATGTTGAACTCCCTTCACACCCTATGTAGCCAACCGTGCTAATCGGACATGCAAGTGGTGGCTGGGCATAGCTCATTCACGGGGCGGGCAGGTTTTTTTTTTAATCCCGTAGGGTAAATCGTACAAGTAGATCACCGAGTGCTGTCGGGGCTCTACGCCAAATCGTTTCTTCAAACTTAGTGATGTCATCGACGCACTGCGCCAGCTGGGCATCTCGAGCAACTCTTCCTCGAGTTGCCGGCCGTTCCAGTCGAGTGAAGAACTTGGTCACATTTAAATGTGTCCTTTCAACAAAGCTCCCATTACCCCAACTCCTCATTCTCTCTTTTTTTGACCCGATGGGCGCATGCGTGTGTTTGGTGTTGAGCACGCAGTCACATGCAGTGGGTGTAGCCGCTGCTGCCACACATGTGCTTTGCATCTTTGTTCACCACAAATTGAATGATTTCAGCGCGTTGCTTTATGAAGGTAAAATGTGCCTCCGCGTGCACGCTCCTGCTTGTACTATGTGCGGTACGGGCGGAACTATGCTTCGGTTGGGGTCAAGCAGACAGCCCCTCGCCAGCAATTTTTAGGGTAAGAGATGGCAAGACTTGCAGTACGATTTGGTGTTGTGTTAATCTATTTAGTTTCTGCATAGTGCTGCAAAATATTAGGCCATATTGTTCACTTGGTAGCAGTAATAAGTACTCCATTATGGTCCAGACAGAAAGCTATATGGGCAATCTGAGTGGTCCTCAGTCGAGGGTAAACAATTAATTGATTCTTGAGGTCGCAATGCATGCATCAAATCCTGTGCGTAAGAATGGCTGTTCGATTCATGTATGTTGTACATCATATGTTGATGTCACCTCTACAGCCACTGGAGGTGCGGCAATTCACCCGTGTTAAATAAGAATCAATTCTTGAATTGAATCGCGTTCATGAATTGCGAAAGCTTATCAAATCGCAGGAAGGGGTGAATTGGTCCACCTTTACACTCCCGTGAAATTAATTCCCTATTTAATTACTTGACAAAATGGGGTCAGGCAGAGGCGATTGTAGCTACCAAATGGTACCGTAATTAACGCGTTGTAGTCCACACCATCGCGGCGAGCTCCGATGTGGCACGACGAGTGAGCCACCCGCGGTTTTAAATTCGTGTTCGGACAAGTCTGTGTTTCTGACCTTTGAGGTGGTAATTTATAGCACACTGATTTACGTGGCAGTTGCATTTTGCCATTGGCTGTTCCATTTCACGAAGGCATTTCTCTCCCCTTAAACGTGTTTCGCTGAGGGTTCTGTCTTTTCTTTTCTCTCTCGTAACGAAAAGCGTCGTGCGTGAGCGTCGAATAACAGAAAAAATCAGGGGCTGTTTTGCCCCGCTCCAAATTGGGGCTGCGCACAGATTCATCCCCGGAGTGTGCGAAAATGTTTCGTTGGGGGAAGAGTCTGTTATTACAGACCGCCGAGCGTCCTGCGTGAATTATAAATGAGGACCCCCATTATTTGTTAAAGGAGCGCACTGATGCCACTGCACTAAAGGAGCCACGTTACCCAGGAAACGCATTGATAGAGGATAATGCACTTTAAAGACATTGTAACGGGATCGTTGGAACTCTGCCCTGCTGTCACTAGTCAGGCCGTCTCGTAAGTCGTGTGCGAGTGCTTCCTCGATTAATTTTTTTGTATACTTGGTGAAATGTCCATGATATCTTGTGGGTTAAAACGTCACCCCCCCCCCACCACCCCTCCTTAGAGACTGTGCTCCCCCCCCTCTCCTACGAATTCGCTCTGCCCCCCCCCACTGCCCCCCACACACAGCCATTGTAAATATGTAAATAATTAGCCACTCTTGAGGTCTATTTTATACTCTGTTTTTTCTTATTCAAATTATATTGTTAATCTGCAAAGTTTAAAACTTGATGAAAGCTGCTGGCGGACCTTGTGGTTTGAATCCATGTTCGAATGAGACTGTAGGGACGCCATTGGTGATCGTTTATAAGCGGACTGAAAATGCGCGACCGGTCTTCCTCCACACATGCCGCCTTGTAAAAAAAAAACTACGTTTAATTAATATTTTTGAGCGCTGCACTTTTTGTGTAATAGAATGCGGAATAGACCGCCGTACTGTATCTCCACATTAAAATACAATCATTGTCGTCTTGTTTCAGTCTGTCGGCCTTTCAGAGATACGTTGCCCATTAGCATTTTTTCCGATGAGGAACATATTGACGGATTTCGCCGTTTGGGTTCTCATCAGTAGAATAAGGCCTGTTAAACTAATACTGCTGCTTTGCTTGATGTTATTGCCCAGACGACTCCCTCAAAATCATGGTCCCTATTAGCATATTTCTCCGCAACAGCATTTGTTTACTCTTTGGTTTTTTCGGTAAAGTCACGTAGGTAGAAATGTTGTTTGTAATATGTTTCTCACCCAGTTACTGCTGTGGTGAATCACTTTTCTCCAAAATGTCACTTTATACTTTTTAAGCAATAAGGCAGTGTTAATGATTACAGTGGTAAAGTTAAATTTCGATTTAAAGCTTTCGTGACTGCAGGGATTCATCTTCTTGGTTCTTTTGGTAAATTCACGTAGAAGCTAAATAATGAAATAATAAAAATAAAACGTAATAAAATAATTCTCACGACGTTTCGGCCACAACGCAAGCAGCCGTCCTCAGGTGAAGACCAGGTCTGTCGGGGAGACAGCGTCTGAATGGCTGCTTGCGTTGTGGCCGAAACGTCGTGAGAATTATTTTATTATGTTTTATATTTAATATTTTATTATTTCCCTTCTACGTGACTTTACCGAAAGAACCAAGAAGGAGTGGTAAAGTTAGTTTTCCTCCGCTTCTTCATTGATAATTCGCAATGACTCTTATTGTATCGATATCTTTAAAATTACACGGTACGTGCGGTGACAGCCACAAAACGTAACGAGCACTCGTCTGAGAGGACCTTAGCACAAACAAGCGGTTGGGCAATTTTTCTGAAACTAATTTAATCGGATAATCACTAATCGGATAATCGCCCAACACTCGGATAATGGATGGCGTCAATCTGCCATTATGCCGTTGTTTTTGTTCACATGGTCTTGGCTTATTTTATTTGGTGGCCACTGTTGACAAAAATATTGTAAACTGGTTGCCAACGGCGGGTCATTGCCCTCGTCTTCAACGACAAGGAAGTTACCATTTGTCATCCCCATTGATGCAGCTATGAACGTTGAGTGTCGAACAATGTGCACCGGTGTATTGGCGTGGGAGGGGAGCGGTGGCACAGCGGTTAGTCCACTGTGCTATGTACATGGCAACCTTGGTTTGATCCGTAGCTACGCGGGGAAACGTGGTGATGGATTGATAAAGGGCTGAAAATTATCATCAAAGAAATATCATCCAGTCGTGTAATGATTGACCCCTCCGGAGAGTCGATTTATTCCAGAATTAATTCTTATTTTGTTGCTTTGTGGTAACTGTAGCAGCCACTAGTGGCTTCAGGGGTCATGTGTGAATGCGTTACATACATACAACAATATAAAAAAAATGTGATTCTCATGCACACAATTTCATGCATGTTATATTGAGCTTAAGAGTTTACTAACCCACAAATCGATGCATATTTACACCCTTAGTGTAGACACTCATGCACTGTACTGGATAGTCACAGATCATATATATGAACAGAATACGCAGGCTCAAGCCAGCTTAGTGTCTGAGGCTTGACGAGATCAAGCTCTTTGCTGTTGATTGTCTCTCTTGCACTCTCTCACACCCGTATACGCGTAACCTTTTTTAAATGTTATTTCTTTCAATCGATTGACTTTATTTACGGTCTCTTAGCGTTATGACCCTCCCAAAGTCGACAAAACCCATTAGCTTGGCACGATGCCATCACACACAGGTCAGCGCAGTTGGCCACGTGCCTGACCTCTGCGCCCGTTCTCACGGAAGCCGATTCGCCGCTCGCCTCTGGACGCAGATGCCGCGCTCCGCTGGCAGAGGGCGTAAATGCATTTCTCTCCGTCTAAATGCTTCATCCGCAGACCTCAAGTCTGAGCCCGTTCGGTATCCCGTCCTTGCCTGAGTAAAACGGCTGTTTCCAGCCGACTTTATAGAAAATATCTCAGTTGGGCCTCGCCTAGTAAAAATATATATATTCTAAAAGTCAGCAAGAAAAAGAACCGAATGCTTCTCGTGCGCCAGGGTCCTCTGAGGACAAGGGGGGTCGCGTTTTAAAGTGAGGGGCCACAGAAAAAAACGTGTCTCTCTCGTGGGCTCGGAGGGACTTATTTGATGAAATATACAAACATATACGCGTGACCCTGGGAAACCGTGGCACCGTGTCTCACTCAAAACCATTGTTAAAGGCTGCCGCTCGCAGTGTTTTATGGAAAAAAACACACCGGACATTATAAAACGATGGGGAAAGTGCAAGTTATATCTTTAAAAAAAATTCTTTGGAAGTTTCCTCGGGTTTCCCCCCCCCTTTTTTTTTCCTTACCAACATTTTAAACTAACCCCAGAGACATCTCTAAAAACTGGGGAAGGTTTCACACTCCCATTATAAATGTCTTCGTGCTTCATCACGGTCCTTATTGCCACGTGCATCAATATCATTATGTTGCATTGTTTATTTGCTCAAGGTGTTTGTGTTTACTATACTCATTGTTTTTTTTTTGTAAAGTCACGTATGTAAAAAATATAAAAATAAAAATTTAAAATAAATCACGACGTTTCGAACGCAACACAAGCGATCATCATCAGGTGGAAATGGGGTAAAACACATAGCGAGGGAACACATAGGGGGACATCACGCACATAGCACACAGAGAACGGTGAACTGCACAGAGGCAATACAACAAGAAGATGGGAGACGAGAACTCAACAAACCTTAGAAACATAATGTGATGCAAAACCAGTCGGTCAACAATTTAATTTAATTTTTTATTTTATTTCTACATACGTGACTTTACCGAAAAAAACCAATGAGTATAGTCATTTCTGCAGTCACGAAAGCTTCAATTCTATATTGTGTTTGTTGATTATCGCGGTGGTTCGCCTACTGCGCTGCACTGCGAACCCGACGACGCGAGTTCAATTCCCACTCGCAAATATCTGAACCAGTCCTGGGCCTCCCCGAGGGCGACTCGGTGCGATGTGTAAACATCGCCACTCGGGAGAGAGACGATGGCGGCCAGGCGTGGTGCTGGCAACCCACACCACCTCTTGTGCTTTGCCAGCCTTCACAGGCGCTTGATAATGACAACACTTGCTTCCAAAAGTCTATTGAGGCTGTATGGGTTGGGGAGGGGGGCGTCTTTGTTTATCTTGAGGCTTGTTTATCGGAGAATAGGATCCACCAGGTGGCTTCAATAGTGACGTAATCAATCAGCCCTTCCATGATTTGATGAACTGTCATGATTCAGTGGTCAAAATGTTGTTTTTTTTGCCCTTGTCATGCACGTGGACTCCAAAGTGAGTGGCTACAGAGTTATCATAACCCAATCGCAAAAAGCATCAACAGTCGGTGGTTTCCAGTGCAGTTCGGCATGTCCTCATCTCCTTTTCACAGCCCACTGCTAGTAATGGAAATTACACATACCTATATACTTGTATTACACGTAAGTTTTGAAAAGTGTAAGAAGCAAAATAATTGTATTATCCCAGTTGTCAATGCTAAAGGCTCCCAAGTGCCAGCGCTGATCTATAAATCTTTCCTATAATTAGCATTCCTGTCGTTTTTGTATTGTGGTTGTAACGTCCTGATCTGCCTCTACTGGACATCTGTGAAAAAGAGCTTTATAGCTCATCGTATTCTTCCAGTATAAATAAAGATTCTGAATCAATGACTGTTTAACTGTTCCGTTCCTACCTGTCCTCCCCGCCTGGTCCCCTTGTCACTTTGCGCCCACACCCCCCCCCCCCCCCCCCCCCCGACAGGTACGCGGTGCTGCCTGAGAACATCATCCTGTACGGGCAGAGCATCGGCACGGTGCCCACGGTGGACCTGGCGTCGCGCTACGAGTGCGCCGCCATCGTGCTGCACTCGCCGCTCATGTCGGGCATGCGCGTCGCCTTCCCCAACACGCGCCGCACCTACTGCTTCGACGCCTTCCCCAGGTTGGTAAAGACGCCCGCGCGTCGCCAGGGCCGTGTTGTCTCACGGAATGTTTTTCTGGTTGCTCGTAGACCGGGGTAGTCCTAGAGACAACAACACCCTGTAGAGGGTGGGGATGCGGGGCCGGGGGTGACTAGGCCTAAAATTAGCACCATGTGTGGAAACGTTTTCTGGGTTACCGTGCCAGACAGACCCAAAATGAAATAAAGGGCCCCGCTTGTCGCGATTTGTCTGGGCGTTAACCAGGTTTCAAAATGACTTTGGTATTTCATTAGAATTTTAATTTGACCTTAATTCCAGAGATGTCGACACCGTTTGAAACTAGTTTGAAACTAGTTTCAAACAGTGTTAGACCAGGCTCGAAAGAAAGCTGTATCTGGTGTGGACCAATCGGTTTCAAAGACAAATGTATATGCTAGCAGAGTATTTTTTGTTTGCATTCTGACCACAAGTATTGTGGTTAATGCACACATGATGATTCCTTGTAAAAGGTTTCAGTTTGGTGTTTTAACATCTTAACACCTGTATTGTTGCCAGAAAAAAAGGAAAAAACCTATTCTGCATTCAGACACTTTTATAATCAGGATGCTAAAAGACCTCTGATTCTTGAATCAAATCTGCACTCCAAACCGTGACAATTCATTGAATTACCACTTCCCCGTGACGTTGGCCAAGGTTGGGAATTAAATCCACATCCCTTAATTGGTAGCCCATTATGCAAGACGTTCACCACTATGCCACTGCACATATACTTCACACATGGTGAATGGTGTAATTGAATATACATTATACTTTGAGTTGTGAAAAATGTCTTTCCATCTCCCCCTCAATCTGTACTAGCCCTAGCCACTGCATCCATTCATATACACACCCACCACGTGTAGATTCGTTAAACAAAAGTCCGCTCTATTGATCCTGTCTCTATTTTAATGAGTGTGTGTGTGTTAATAATAATTACTATAATGCTTCCAACACAACACACTTTTTACAGCCATTTGCCCACTAAGGTCTGGAGAAATATTCTACGCCCCTTATAATCAACACAGTGTGAGTGTCATACCATACTTGTCTAGCGGTGGTCACTGCGGGTTTGTGAAGGTGGGGGTGACGCCCCCTGGACCGATTCAGATATCACTTGCCACTGATGTTAGCGGTGGCCGGGAATTGAACTTGGATCGGCGAGTTCACAGTTGGGCTCGCAAAATACTTTGCCACCGCTGTGCCCGAGACTGCAATGTTTTTTTTATTAGATTATTGTTGAACTATTTCAATTGGTTCTTTCACCACGGGGCAGACAAGAGTGGGCTTGTGTCACATCGATACATTTTGGCCATTACTCTGTCGTGCTTTTTCATATCTATAAATCAGATTCCCAAAGCTGCTGAGTCCGCATGGACGGAAGCGCCCGATATTTAGCATACAGACCAATGGGCAGACATTTTTACTTATGACTGGGCGGGAGCCCCTTGAGACTATACATCTAGTTTTACAGGGAGAACCTGGGTTGGAAAGGAGCTACAGGGAAATGTAGTACAAGATATTAATATTAAGCCTAATGCCATAAATAAACCCTTAAATTGTGTATGGTGTGTCAGATACTTGTCGCAAATGTGTCTATACTGCCCTTGCGTATTGTCACTTGGTGGGATGGCCATTACAATTGTAAAGTTCATATTGTGTAGTCTGAATATATCCATTCATCTAGAGCTCGATGTATTTCTGACCGTCATCACTTAGCCAGTGAACTGGAACACGTACACCAAGCTGTCAAGATGAATGGATATTCAGACTACACAATCCGTAAAGCTATCACCCCAGCCGTTGGGAAAGAACCATCTGAGGACCCAATCAAAACCATCACCTTGCCATACATAGCAGGGGCCACTAAAGAGATTTCCAAAATCATGAGCAAACACAAGATCCAGGTTCTATTTAACACATACATAAAATTCGTGATCTGATCCCATCTGTGAAGGATGTGATCCCTGACATGCAAATACCCCGGCGTCTACAAACTAAGCTGTGTCTGCGGCAGTAGGTACATTGGGGAAATTAAGCGACATGTCTCGGACCGTGTTCGTGAACACAAGGTAGATCTGAAACACGATAGGAACAATACCTCGGCCTTGGCTGATCATTGTTTTAATGCAGTGGGCTCACACGAAATGTATTTCTCTAAGACGAAGGTACTTTGCAAGCCCACTTGCTATCGACAAATATTCATTTATGAAGCCATCCATATATATATAGACACAGACACAATTTAAACCGAGAAGATGGGTACAAACTGAGAAATCACTGGAAGGATGTTATCAACCAGTTTAAGTCATAATTGGCTATGATGTTCCCATCCTACCGCCTTCCAATGTTAGTTGTGCTTTACGCCCATTTCAAACTTGCGCTTTCACAGTCACTTCGCATGCCGACCCCTTGGTTGCGGCTCTGCGATCTTCCATGAACATGCTAATCTCTCTTTAACATGCTAATTTTCACCTGGCAGCTCTTTGATTCGGTGGAAAACCAAGGACCGTAGGGTTGGTTGCCCACCACTTACATTTTCATTGGCTGCTGACATTTGGGCTACGCCCATTTCCTACCCTTATAAACAGTTTGCCTTGGAAGCTAAACCCTCCTTTTCCTGAAGACGACCACTTGTGTTGCGATCAAAACGTCGTTTTTTGTTATTTTTGGTAATTTTCTTTGAAACTACCGACGTGACTTGACCGAAAGACCCAAAGAATATGAATCCCTGCAGTCACGAAAGCTTTAAGTCAATATTTAATTGTAAAGTTAATTAATCAAGCTTGATTTGGAGCTTTCGTGACTGCAGGAATTACTCTTCGGTTCTTTCGGTAAGTCACAGTAAAAATAAAAATAAATTAAATAATAGCTTACGACGTTTCGATGGCAACACAAGCAATCATCATCAGGTACAAATGAATGAGAAAACAAACCTAGTAACTTAGAAATATGATGCAATACAACACAACAATCGGCTTACATAAGTCAACACCCTACCTGGTTGATTACATTCTTCCAAAGATTGCTAAATTTGAGAGCGAGACAAAACACAGACACACAGAGAGAGACAAACACCATAGGCACACAATCACTTAAGGCTTTAGAATGTGTCACTTCTGCTTGCTTAAGGAATACGTTGGGAGTGCAATTTAAAGGTAAATATCAAGAAGTGGTGGGGTGACTCAGGAGACAGATCACCGAACCAGCAAATGCTGAGATCCGAGATTCAAATTTGGGTTTCAGCCAAGTGCAATTAAAAGAGGTTCTCAAGTTTAGCCACCAATTGACTGCCAAATACCGATTATATCAAGGTTGGTTCTTCGTTTAATTTAGCAACGTTTCAAGTTTAATTTTAAAAAGTTGACATTTCACTGCCACGCAATGAACATTCCTCCGCAGCGCAGTGCGTGGGAAGGAATCTCTCCTAATGTGCGAATAAAAAAAAAGGTCACCTAAAGCCATCTCAGAGGCAGTTTTGTAACATCACCTTCTGTGGGCCGTTCTCTTAACACACAGGGTGATGAACTGATGTACAAGAGTTTGAGTTTGCACTTGGTCTCGTGACGTTTCATCACGAAGTTCCAACGTATGAAGTTGAGGCAGCATTACATAACTTGGTACAAGCACGTTTTATTTAATAATTTGTCATAAGTTATGCTTAGCTGGTCGTTAAGTGTGCACCCATGAGACCGGTCATACGCTCTAATCTTTCCCCCCCTCATCCTTCCTAAGTGCACACAGACAGGAACTCTCATTCGCCATTAATCAACAAGGTCGGCCGTTATCTGTGTCTTGGCACTGCGGTGTCGTAGGTGCTCCGTTAAAACAATTTGTGCCGTCCCATCCGCTTGTTCCCAGGCTGAACTCCCTGTCGCACGGAGAATTTATTTTATATTTAATCTTAATCGTAGCTTTGCATTGTGCCTCCTTCCTTTTGCATTATCATTGTCATTTCTTTTGGCAAGCGGAAGGTTTGAATTGGCGTAAATAGCACTAGCAGTAAATAAAAGTGGAAACTCACTTCCCTTCAACGTGGTCCAGTGGCTCGTGCACTGCGCTGTGAACCCTGCGAGTCGACTTCGGTGTCGGTTGATATCCGAATTGGCCCTGATCTGCACTGACCATCGTGGTGAAGTATGGTCCAACAACCACGACGACTGGAACGGCACGTAGTTTTTTGTATTCGGCAGTTGATTGACAAAAGGGCCGGCGACAAAAAAAAAAACATTGTTTCCAGCTCACAATTGAAATTTCCCACGCGTGTTCTTTGTGAACGCGAAAACTTCGCTACGCAGCAGTAAGTTGGCACATTGTCATGATCAGGAAGTTGTATTGTATATTTATTTGTTCTGGAGGGGAATGGGGGAGCCTGTGACGGCTGTTCCTCCCGACGACTTGAGAACATCTCGCTGCTGGGTTTATCGCGGGTGGGTTTACCATTCTCTTCCTGGAATAGCGTGCGTTCTCAGTCCTCCAACTTTTCGGCTCCACCCAGAGGCCGCGAGGGGTTAAACATATACCCCCGTTCACTTCACGCCCAGATTTGGCTAGCGTCGCGGTGTTCCACTGTTTTGTTTGCCGGGTTTTAGTGTCGTCATCAGTGGCTCCCTGGAATCTCTTTTGTTTAATACAAAAAGAAAAAAAATCCCCGTCTCACTTTCCCGTTGGCGATACGTACATGCGGGCACGGATGGGGAGATCAAAAGGTTTTATGAGGGGAGGGGTTGAACTTGTGAGCCGAAACGCGCTTTTTCATTATTAGTTTTTATAGTCGCCGCTAATGTCGTAGCACCTTGTTTAATTATGACCATATATGGCTTGCACTTTCGTGTATAGCCTCAACGCGGGCGCTACCTGCACATGTCTTAACGTTCGTGTTCCTGTAAAATCATCGTCAAGATCGTCTGAAACCCGAAGGCGATGAAGGTCCACTTCTCCAGCCAGTCCTCCCCCACGGTCCGCCGTGTTATAGAAGGCCTCT